CAATCTTAAAAGCATGTCGTTTTACACCCATGGCATGATTCATCACTATTACAACTAACCACAGATTGCTCAAGGACAGTCCCTGAGGTAAGAGTGCAGCAAAGCTGCATGAAATACAAGTGTTTAAAGGTTACAACAGGTCTGAGGCCAGAAGTGTCCATCAAAAAGTGTCTTTGCTTTTATTTTCAGCCATCACTTTAAAAGGTTGTGAAATTCTGTCATGCTGTCTTTCACTCTCTTCCCATCAGCCGCCACACAATAACTCTGAATCATCAGACAGATTCACTTCCCTCAGACGCGCCGCGCTTTGAAGGCATTACCCCGGCTGAAACAAAACAACCATCAGCACATCAATTACAAGCCAATGACATTCAATCTCCACATTCTATCAAAAGCGCCTTTGAATCACTGTATACTGTATAGAGTTTCAGGATGTCAGACTTAAACCAGACATCTCATCAACGTGCAGACACTTTCAGTTTTAAATGCCAACAATGAACTGCATCGCCGCTTCAGGGCACATACAGTTTCTACGCTGATCTATAGATGACTTGTTTGAGAAACTGACTGAATGTGCCCACACAATGGATGGACCACAGGTTGCGTTCACAGTTCAGAAGCTTTTGAAGTCATTGTGCAGAGAGTCCTAAAGCAAATAAAGACTGCAAAGGTTGTGATATAGCAGACGCTCTGTGGAGCAGACATCCTCTCAGGAAGTCCATGTGGAGTCTCTGATAGGCCTTCGACAGGTGTATGGCAGGCGAAGGAAGTGTGGCTATATAATTATGCTTTTCCTATCCTGTCTTGGACAATTTCAATCTGTCTTCCATCTCCTTTTTCCGCTGCTTCTTTTGAACCCAGTGTCCTATTCCACTCAATTCTAACTTTTTATCTCCCTTTCTCTGGATCTCCAGCAGGCTGGGACAGGCTTACGGTGTGTGTGGCATGTGAGGGCAAGACAGGATTGTGTGGCCTAAAGCGAGTCAGAGGAATCTGGATCCTCCTGCAGGGTGAGGCAAATTGTTGTATCCCAAATGCAAGGGCTACTGTCTATAAATCTAGCCAAGAATAGAGCTTTGGACTGGACTTTGTGCTGATTTCAGTTACACTACCTTAACAACAGGGAAAACCGTCTAAAGTCAAAGCCAAAAAAGGTTTTGTTTTTTATTCCATTGAATCTAAGCTGAACAAGAACTGCTACACACATCTCAGTCAGTGCAGTCTTTGCTTTTTATGGTTTCTGTCACCACCAGAGCTCTACCAGAGAAGCACCAGTGGGTCACACCACAAAGCCACAGGCTCAAACTCCCTTTCCCTCTGGGTTGACTCAGCCTGATCTCTGGCTGGCAGCCCTGCTTTCACTGAGCGATCTGTTGTTTGGAAACAACAAGCAACAGAACAGCACTGCAGGCTGAGCTTGGGCCGCAGCTCAGCCCAGTAACACCACACCATTATGCAAACTTCATATCTGGAAAGGAAATCTCAAAATAACTCTATTTATGCATACAAATATAACTCTTGTGAATATATGATTACATGTTTTTTTTACAGTGTTAAATTACATTACCAACCCAATACAGTATATTTAGACAAGTAACTCAAATGTGTGAAGACAAAGACTTTTTAATGTAGTTCATATATAATATTCTTATCAGGGCTGGGCGATTAATCAAAAAATAATTGAAATCGACAATCTAAACCAATAATCTAATTTTTCCAGGTTGATTTTTTTCAATGATTTACTTTAGCATGTGTGAAGCAACGTGACCCTGCTCTCCTGTTACCACTGTGTTACTTTGCACTACATTGACGATGATTGGAAGCTGCACCAGAGATGCCTTGTTAACGGCATGTTTTCCATTATATCAAAATTAATATTTCAATTAAAACATTTGTTTACAGAAGATGCAGGAATTGCACTGTCTAAAATATAATTTAGAGGATGTACAAGAATTTTATTTAGAATAGATACTGCTTATTTTCTACTTTTAGAATAAAAAACATAGAAAATAATAGATTTTGTTTCCAAAAGTGCAAGTTATTTATTTTCACTTTTATATAAGAAAAAAAGTGACTGTTGGTTTTATGCAGTGTGTGTTTTAATTTCAGTTGTTCAGTGTTGATGTTCAATAATCATAGACAGTAGATCATGTGTGTTTCCTTTAATTATTTCAGAATCAAGTAATGCACCCTTCATTCAAAAATCTCTCACCTGTAATATGAGAGCATATTTACTGTACAAAACTTGTCAGTTAATTATGAGGGCAAAAAATAAAATAAAAAATAAATAAATAAATAAATAAATGAATAAATAAATAAAATAAGTATCCATTAATCATAAAGTGCAATTAATCGAGATTTTAATTTAAGGCCAAATCTTGTATAATTTCAACATACTGTAGCAATTCTGTAGAACTTGGTCCCATTTTAAATTGCTACAACTACCTGTAATTATACTTGTGATGATTGAGAAGCCTTACCCTAAACAGTATTTTAGTGTATTCAAAATACTTTAACACTCTAGAAAATAACACTGATTTTCTGTACAATTAAAATCCACATTTATTAAATGAAATTGAGATTTAATTCCAGATTAAATTCCATCATAAAGATAAAAAAACTGTTACATACTGTGACTGCCATCACAAGAACATTTCCAGTCAAGAGGATGCTTCAATTTTAAAAAACAGACACTGGTCTGGTGAGTTTGGTAACCTGATTTAATTACCAATATGGCATGAATTCCTATACTTTTTACACTCAGTACATATGAATTACACTCATCATACACATCCATCTGGTTTAACTTTCACATAAGGCCTTTGTCTTAGCTTTTTTTTGTCACTTTTAATCCCTTTCAACTTAGATGGCCCGTACTCTAAGAAGAATTATTCTTAGATACTTGTACAGTTCAAAAGAATAGCAATTATATGTAAGAGAAATCCTTTTTAACATTTTTATTTAGCTTTTGATTCATTCAAAAGCATTCTTGCTGAATAAAAGTATTCACATTTATGAAATTGAATATTATTGTGTTTAAGTAATATAATATAAAGACAACAGATGAGATGGATGTTACAATCCCAATGACATGATTGTTTATTTTATAAAGCATTTACTATTCGTGTCACTGTCAGAGCTGAGCAATTAATCGAAAAGTAATCGAAATCGACATTCAGAATCTATAATCGAAATTTTTCCAGGTCAATTTTTTCAATTACTTTCCCTATTGTGTGTGGAGTCACACGCGTGAGTTAAGGCTGATGTAAACCTGTGCATCCAACTCACACGCAGCATTGCGCGATAGCATACCCCACACCTCTCAATAAAAGTAACTACACTACATGGCACTACACTACATACTACACTACATACACATTTACACTACATGAAACATGATTGGAAGCTGCACCAGAGATGCCTTGACAGCATATTTTCCATTACACTAAAATTATTATTTACATTAAAATACTTGTTTACAGAAGATGTATAAAATGTTATTTATAGGATATACAAGAGTTATTTTATTTAGAAAATATACTGCTTATTTTCTACTTTTGAAAAATATGAAAAACATTAAATATAATAAATTTTGTTTCTAAAAGTTCAAGTTTGTCTTTGTGACTTGGTTTCAGGCAGTGTGTGTTTTAGTTTCAGTTGTTCAACGTTGATGTTCAATAAATAATCATAGACAGTAGATCATGTGTGTTTCCTTCAGTTATTTTAAAATGAAGTAATGCAACCTTCATTACAGCCTTCATTCACCCTTTATTACAGGTAAGAAATCTCTTACCTGTAATATGTGAGCATATTTACTGTACAAAACCTGTCAGTGAACTATGAGGGCAAAAATAAATAAATAAATTAATTAATTAATAAATAATCGTTCATTAATCGTAATCGAGTTGAAATGATAAATTAACCAAGATTTTGATTTTAGGCCAAATCACACAGCCCTACTTTCAGGAGATTTGGCACCAAACAAAAGAAGAGGAACAACATAGTTGTATTATTAAAGTTAACAAACAATCCCCTAAGATCTGTTGGTTTAATTGGCTATATATTAATTTGTGATGAAATCCAAGTGAACTTCTAGCTGATTATCTACTGAATCTGTATATATATATATATATATATATATATATATATATATATATATATATATATATATATATATATATATATATATATATTCAGAATGCATATGAAAAACCAAATGAACTTCTATAATAACTGGCCATGTGTAATATATACAACTCAAACAAGTAAACCAATGTTTTTCTATATTGGCTGAAGCTTGTAATGCCTCTTAAAACTAAAGGTCTGCTGAGTGGAAAGGCTTGTGGGCAACCCTCGTGTGGACCATACGGGCAAGACCTGTGAGCAGTTGGCCAGCATCGCACTGTGACATAACAGGATTAACCAGCCATTGCAAAACTCAGAGGAATAATAATAACAACAATACAATTCATACAACAACCCCGTCCACATATACACTCTAATGAAGAAAAATAATAAGTACCAAATGTCTTATATATGCACCAACCAACCAAAATATAACTTAAAACACAAACATCGCAACACATCGTTTAGCCCAGATACAGCAGCTACAGCGCTCCTCAGATTAAGGTCGGGCTGTTATATAACCTCATCAGACAGTAAATGACAACCTCAGGCAAGGCAAATGTGTGTTTGTGAAAGCACATGAGAGAATAAAGTTGAAATAAATCAACAGGAGTGTCGGAATTTGATCAGAGAGCGAGATACGAGCTGCAGCACATAACGTTACAGTAATGAGACGCGGTTTATGAATTAACGTGATATGAGAAACACAAGAGTTGATTTCACAATAAAAGAGCCTCTGCTGGGATTTTTCTTCAACTTCGCCGTGCTGGTGTTTAGCTTCAGTTTGAGACTGTCCGGACGGGTTCTGCTAAAATCAATCGTCACAACCCGATGCTTCTCTAAGTAAAGTCGAGGATGTGTTTAATGGCACTCACCGCGGTATTGTGATGCACTTGGTGTTGACATCCTGAGTTGTGATGGCTTTCTCTAGCTCGTCCAGCTGTCCCGTCTTCTTCAGCTTCTTCACCAGGCTCTTAACGGCCTTTTCGCACCATTTCTCCTCCTGTCCGTTCTGCTCTCCCTTCTTCCAGCCCAGCAACCTCTTGACGATCGGCGGAGTGAAAGGTAAAATTGACATGTTGAATTCAGTTCAGCGTTCCTCTATTGCGCAGTCTCTCACGCAACTCGGAGGGAAATTAGGGATACTTTTTATCTTCAGCGTAATCCGAAGGTTTTGTGTCAAAGTAAACTGATTAGAGCATGGGAATAATATGAAGAAAAGTGAGAGGGACTTGAGACGTGACTGAGACACGGTCTCAAGTTCAGCGCTCAGCACAGCTCTCTCTGTCTGTCTGTCCCTTGAGATCGTCAGGCATAGCTCGCGCCACACACCGCTGCCAGGCCGTTCAGATCACTCCGCGTAAAAAATAGTTCCTCTGCATCCGGTCAGCACAACACTTTCTGCTGGTAATTAAAACAAATTCATTTAATTTAAAAAATATAATACATCATCTGTGACTAATATGCAGTCAGTTCCTGAGCATTAATATTTTAGAAAGTGAGGTTTACTTAAATCTAAAGTCTTCCGCTGTTCTGCGTGCTGCGGGAGCACCACTTGCTCTGACGTAACGTTACTGAAGCTGACTGCACTCAGTGCTCTGATCATTTAAAAGTTTCAGTTTCAAAGTGCTTTAGAAATATGTGCAGAATATGTTTAGCAAATGTGTACAGCCACACCAAATGACGACTTTATATACTGATATCTTGATAAAGCATATTTTATGGTGGCCCCTTCATGAGGGTAGCATTTGACATCAACAAAATAGTTCTGTACATACACAATAAGATGAACAATATGCTATAGATTTAGGAACCATGTCATCTATTTAAGACAGGATTGAGTTGAACCTTCTGAAGTTTTATTGTCCCCTTCCTCCTGTGCTATTGTAAACACTCATAAAACCCGCCCAATAACCACAGTGACACACAGGAAACGGGTTATACAAAACCTTGCTTATCATTTACAGACTCAGTAAAAGTAATTACACTTTAATTCTCAAAAGAGTAAAGATGTTCACTTTTCTTCCTTCTACCTTTTCCACCCCCACTTTTTCTGTCAGCATAGCACTGTCTGTGTGAGAAGGGGATCCCACCAAACGCAGCATACAGTGTTTAATTAATCTGATACTGGGCATGGCCTGCTTTTTTTAGTGAGGGAGTGGGGATGAAAGATACAACGCTGAGTATGCAGCAGCCTTGCCTGTGCATGACAACAACAATTAATCATATACGTCCCCAATGTTGTAGTAAATGCTCAAAATCCCAAAATGCAAGTCTCAAAAAACAACACTTTTTGAGGATGGGTAGATTGTATTTAGCTAATACATATGAGGTGGATTACATTATACTAAGTTTACTCTTTTACTTTTAAATTTTTAGTTGTTCTAATGTGATGGCTTTGTTTCCCCCCTTTAATTGTTTATCTTGAATGTTTATGTTTGTCTTATATTGTGATCACAGACCGCTATCTTTAACACACACACACACATACACACACAAACGCACACATGGACATATGCCGAAGGGAGTTTGGGTCAGAAATGTCAAGAGAAGTGTGTGCAGCCAAGGGCCAGCTGTTACATTCAAAATGCAAACACAAGCGCCTGCACTAGTCTGATTTGATTTATGCTTATCAGATTGAGCCCAGCATTTTCGTCCCTCTACACAAGACATATTTGGCAAGCAGGAAGCAATAAATAAAACAATGTGCAGTTTTGTGTCATTTTCTGAATTTTCTCATTTATAATAATATAAAGGCTAAAAGAAAGTTTAACATTGTAGGTCATTTGACCTTGACCACACAGATTGGTGTATGGCAATCTTTGGTACGTTTAAAACAGTTCACAGGCTGTGCTAAAAATATGCTAGATCACAGCCCAGCATGGTTCTGCTTCTTCCTTTTATCTATTTTAAAGATCATCTGATGTATATTTTTATAACATTTTCTTTCATTTTGTCCTCCCACGTGGTTTTGGACAACGTATACTCATAACTGATGGATAAACAGATTCATCTGTGCACAGTTTAACACACTGCAGGAATCTAGAAGATCATGTGTTGAACACTGCATGACAAAATTTTTTATTTATAATAATAATCATAATATTAATAATAAAAATAATAATAATACCTTTATTATTTATAGGAGCCTTTCAAAACACTCAAGGACACCTTACAATATGTCACAGGCACATCATAAAATACAAGACAGAGGAATAATAGACATAATATTAAACCAGAAAATCATTAAAAGCAATCCTGAACAGAAAGGTTTTAACCTGGTATTTAAAATTGAAATAGAGTCCATCTGACGAATATCTAATGGCAGAGAAATCCATAACTGTGGTACTATGCAGCTAAAAACACTATCACCAAATGATTTTATCCTAAAATTTGGAACTGATAACAGTTCAGCCGCAAAAAAAACTTTCTGTAATCTACAAAGATGTGCTCTATATTTTGTTGAAATCCAGATTTTCGGGAATGAATATCTATACATGCAGTAGAAATATCAACAAAATGTTTATGCATTCATTTAACTTTGAGATATATTTATTCCAATAAACTGACTGCTGACAAATGTGCATTTAAAATTTAATACAATTGAAAAGTTACACTGTGAAAATGTATATGATCAATTAGTCCTGACAGCATATGTTTTAGGTCATTGTAACTTATTAAACTAAGTTAATCATGTTTGAATTAATTTTACAAGTTACAATGCAAACTAATGTAACTTACAAGTTACAATGTAAAAAAAAAACAATATAAGTTCTAGGTTAATATAAGGTTCAGCTTGTGTAAACATGTAAAAAGTGACAATCAAATTAAAAGCCGAGGTATGTGGCACTGGTATTTTGGTATGTGGTATTGACTTATTAAAGACAAAATTACCTCATCATCATTTACTCTTCTTCTTGTGGTGTTAAACATTTATGAGTTTCTTTCTTCTGTTGAGCATAAATAAGATATTTTGATCCACTGTTTTCCACATTCCTTTCTGGATTAAATGAAGTGACAGAGAAGAGATTTCTGACATGTCAAATGATTTCTCTAAACATGAACAAGATCACAGCATCAACAAAACTCAACATTAATAATAATAAGAAACATTCCTTGTGCAGCAAACACAGTTTCTAAAGGATCATGTGATGCAGAACACGGCAATAATGATGCTGGAAATTCAGATTTGAACAGATTGATAAATTACATTAATAAAAATATAAAATGTATTAAAATAGAAACTAGATTGAACTATTAAAATATCCCAATAAGCATATGAATGGGCTAGAAGAGATGATTTAGGTCTGTATTATATTTCCTCTTTTAGATTAGCGAAGCATAAGCATGCATGTTTATCAAGTACAAGAGACAGCGTGTGGCAGGACGAAGGTTTGGAGTATTAAAATGTGCAGCTTGACTGCAGTGGCCATCAGCTCAAGCCCAGCAACTGCTAAATCCCTCAGGGGCTTCATCTCCCGGACAGCTGGTTTCGGGGTGTAGGAAGGGATGAAGTCCAGGGCCTGGGGGGCTTGTAGTTGAGGATGTGTGGGGGCAGGGGGCAGATGGGATCTAGAAGAGTGAAGTGGGGGGATTTGGGGGTATATACGTCTGTGTGTATGTGAGTGTGTGTGTGTGTGTGTCTGAAGAATTGCCTCACACAAAAGGCAAGGCTGCGTGAATGAGTAATGGCCCTATAAGATCTGATGGCTGATGAGGGTATTGTGCATACTTGGACTCAAGAGACCCAGGGGAGCTTCAAGGTGGTAAAATGGGCTACAGGGGGGCTGAACTCTGTCCCAGTGGAGGACATGTGTTGGAGTGATAAGATGAAGCTTATGTCCGATCAACTGTGTTTAACACAATGAGATGAAGGACAGGTGGGACATAGCAATGATTAGCAGAACAATGACATCAGTGTCAGACTATCAGATGTTAAAATATTAAGACCAATTATATTATTTATTATATATATTTTTCTGAAAATTAAATTCTGCATTGCCAAGAAATGAACTGTACTTATATGTTATACTGCTGAAGGAGACAGATGGACAGAAATGTCATTAAATGGTTTTCAAGAAGGCAGTACTGACTTGTGCCAGTGTGTTGTTGGTGACAGATTCAGAGAGATAAACAAATATTCAGCCAAGAGCTACAGTATGAGTAACAGTGTTTGTGTGTAGCAGGATCTGGATCTGTTTACAAGCATCCATCTGTGTTTATAGTTCAGTGTTTTTATTTCAATGTAAAGCTGTGTCTATGGATGTTTGTACAGGGAAAGCGTGTGTACATGCACACATTTGTATTTGTGATTGAAATGCTTTATCTGGAAGTGAGCTGTCAAATCTGACAAAACCTACATAAAACCTATATAAGTTTAGGTAGAGTAAGATTTTGGGTTGTTTTAGAATGTATGCTCACCAATGTTGCACATCCATATATAAATATATCTAAATTATATATATATATATATATATATATATATATATATATATATATATATATATATATATATATTAGATATATATCATATATCTATGTGTATGTATATATATATATATATATATATATATATATATATATACACACACACACACACACACACACACATATATATATATATATATATATATATGTGTGTGTGTGTGTGTGTGTGTGTGTGTGTGTGTGTGTGTGTGTGTGTGTGTGTGTGTGTGTGTGTGTATAATTTACTATGAAACAGAATTTTCAGAGTTTTCTCTAATTATTATCAATCCTGAATCCAGTCAAACTGCTATTTAAAAAAAATATTAATAACATTTTTAGTTATTTAATGCATTCTTGCTGGAAAAAAGTATATCTTTCAGGAAAAAAAATATTATTGGCACCTAAATGAATTGTATTGAATTAATATTTAAATGATTCATTCTTTCATGCATTTTTTTTGGCTTAGTCCCTTTATTCACCAGAGGTCGCCACAGAGGAATGAACCGCCAACTTATCCAGCATATGTTTTATGCAGCGCATGCCCTTCCAGCTGCAACCCAGTCCTGGGAATGGTGTCACCCTCTATGATAATTTTTAATTATAAAAATTAAAAACCACATTATATCAGTATCATGCATTGCATGTCTTGCGTAATGCACTCACGTGTGTGTGTGTGTGTGTGTGTGTGTGTGTGCTCACATTTACGAGTCTACCTGAGAAATTTGCAACTCCATAGGGTGTGTTTAAAACACATTTTATGGCAAACTGAAGTAGAGTGTTACTTTGAAAGCCGTCACACCAAGACAGCTTGA